AGAAGCAGAAGAAAAATAAGATGTGAAGAGAAGGGAAGTGGTGTTGCTTTCGGAAACGATTTCTTATGCGTAAGCATGCGTTTAGTGGATCGTGTATGATAAAAATTTTAATAAAACTTTGAAATACTCTATAGATTACATTTATTTATGCACGAATAAATTAATCAAATTAATTTATTTACTTAGCGACCGATTAGGATGATAACTTGAATTCTTTAACCTCGAACGTTCCTCGCTCTAAGCTAGTTTAGAACACCCGAATCTTCCTTGTCAATTCCTTGAATCTACGAAGACGTGTGTGTGGGCACACATGAAATAAAATGAGATAAGCGAATAAATACTCAAGGTTTCCCCGAACACCAACACATGCGCGACGGGTAATTTTTGGAGAAAATTTTTCCTTCCCACACTATAGAAAACGGCCACTAATGCTAGGAGAGAGAAAAAATTATCTCACAATTTTCTACAATCTCATATTTTATAGAGTAGTAGTCAGACTCCCAGAAAGAGTTTAATCTTTATCTCTAAGATAAAGCTTAGTAATTATCTCCAACTTCAAATGTGATTTTGAAACAAAATCAACTCTCTCCCTTATCCTATATGGCCGGCCACCATAGAGAGATTCCTCCCTGTGGTAGGTGCATATGGTAAGTAAAGAATATGGTAAAATTTTGCATTTATCTTGCAGTCCAATTTTAACTCAAATTCAAATTCTAATTTAAGTCAAACTTAAATCAATTTGAATTTCAAATTGAACAACTTATCAAATAAGTTAATTGGATAACTATGGAGAGCAAGTAATTTAAATCCCAAAGGGATTCACACTGTGCTGTGCGTTCACACCATGTGAACACCTTCACATGTGTGTTTCAAAAATTTAAATTCAAATTTAAATAATCACATTATTTAATTTATAATTAATTCTCAATTAATTATCTTTGAGCGTTTTATTTTAGAATTCTATAATTTTAAAATTTCTATTTTGCCCTTAGTGTCTTGTAGAATTACAAGGACGGCGCATAGACTCATGAGCCTATAATTACGAGCTCCAATAAAATTAATAATTAATTAAACTCTTTAATTAATTAAATAATTCTATTAATTCTAAAAATTACTCCACTATAAACTTACAATTGCACTCTTATAATTATAGACAAAAATTACTTATAAATTGTGAAGTGTCCATTTAATATAATTATTGCATATAGATCAATCATCCATAAATAATTCATAATTAGAGCTAGGTAAAATCCGCTAACATCTCTAATTACATCTTTATCCTTGAGTAGCATTGATTCTGTAATGGACAATAATTCATAAAACAAATTCATGAATCAGTGCTCCTTCTGGTCCAAGTACCAAATCAACCCTCAAGAGAATTATCTATCTACTTCCTTCTTAAGAAGGGATGGATTCCATCTCGTATAATAACATTCTAGGCTACTCACTTCATCATATCTCCAAAATACAAGGAATAGGACTCAAGATCTCGAAATTCGTACCAAGTAAATCAAAAGCACAAATCCATAAATAGGAGTCTGCTAAGAACTTACAATTAAGATCATTCTACATATAATCATCGGTATACTCAATTAGAATTTCTATACTTAACGAAAATTATCAGAAATTCATATTATGTCTGTGTTCCTGTTCCACATAATCTCATTATACATAATACACTCATTCAATATCTCGTCATATTAACAGTGCGGATAACACTGTTCCATTCTAAATAGGAATGACCTCTATTAGTAATGTTTTAATTAAAGATTTCAAACTTTAATTAAATTCATTACGAACATCGTTTTGATTATTATCCTTAAATATTTTCCTCTCGCATATAACACTTATAAACAATATTTAAGGTCACATAAATAATTATGGAATTTTCACTAATATTCATAAAATATTAATTAATACATGCACAAAAAATACTGAATAAACTCTTTTATTCAAAAAATAATAAATATCCTATTACAGCTCATGCTTCTAGGACATCATTCTCAACGAGAGACGGCAGCGGGCAGCCTCTGAACTGAGAAGAGTAGGGAAGCATGTATAGGGTTTGTCTAAGCTTATTGCTACTAGTGAGTATATATATTTTTATTTTTTTTCTACGGATCGCTACGCATTGTGTCGAGTTGGGCCCGAAACTGACACGAAATTTACTTGCAATTGAATTGCGTGTCGTGTCCGGGTTGTACAAGTCCAACCCAAAATTGACACATTTTTTCCGTATCAAATTTAGTTCGACCCGATTCTGGCCCGTATCTCTTTTTTCTCAACCCTAATCCGTGATTTTCGTATCGATTTCAACTCGTATTGTGGTGTCGTGATCCGTATTGCCGTCTCTAGTTTCAAAGTACCTAAAAGATGTTTTTCTAAACATGAAAGTACCGTTTTAATATTATAAAAAATACAAGATATTAAGAGCATGTTTTACTATAATATTACCAAAATAATTTTATCCCCGTTATAATTGCTTAAAATCACAAGCCAAGAAAAACGACAAGAAAATCACATGACAATTTTAGAGGAAAGGTAAAGCGAGCAATTTCAGCATGAAATGTGTGGTTCGTCAAATGCTTCACAAGACTAGAATAATACGAAATCTACAACATAGAATATGTTAAACGACAATGGTTGAATAAATAACAAGCAAACCTGCACTCAAAAACAAAATGGCAATACCCATAAAAGTATTAGTTTGTGTCACGCCCCAAATATGAGTGGCTGGCGTGTACACTTATTTAAAAATTAAATAAGATTAAGAAATATAATTGAACATTTAACAATTTTAAAATCAATTTTTAGATAAAATATTGAAAAATTTCCAAACAAACCCCATTATTTTAAGAAAATTAAGTTTAAGGAAAAATGAAGTGGGTTTTTCAATACCACAGTCAAACCAACTCCAAAAGTCAGCCTCTGGCATCACATTGAGATTTTCCACAGGAAAATCCATAATGTAGCATACATAAACAAAACAGAAAAATAATATATTGACATTAATCACAGCATAGTAGAATTTAAGGTTACAAACCATAATTTTTATACATGCCTTAGTAATAAGCAACAAGGACGAAAATACCTCACAGCTTCTTCGTTTCATGAGTTCGGCTCACCTCATCGGTAGTTATTATCTGCTCGACAGTACTTCTAGCGTTGTCTGGGAGGGGTTTAATACATTGAAAACAGAAGAAATTTGAGCGAAAGGCCCAGTAGGATACAATTTTATAACACTTTATCAATAGACAAAAGTACATGGTCCAAACATATCATTCGAAACCAAACATCCTTTTTAATGAAAGGAAATAATCATAAATTTCAAGTTTCATATTAAAATAAGTGATTTACAAAATTATGTTGAATCACTTACCTTATCGTAAAGCCATTATATCACTACCGAAGTGCCCCGTACAAGTTTTGGGACCTGCCCGCGCGGATATGATCTTCATACCACAATCTCTAGGCTATCATGCGTGTTACCATTTCTTAAAATATCTCATTTTAAGAAAATATTACTTCAAATTCTTCTTCAAATCTCAATGATATCAAATACTTTTTATCTTTAAAACGTTTTCATAGGTCAAAGTCAATTAAAACAAAGCTAACAAGCATATGAACAATAATATACTACCTCTTGGATTTCAATTATACGGCTAGCTTCTCGTCGTCCTAACCTCACTTATCTTTAAAGCTCAATATCCGATCCCGCCGCTAGCTTCGTCATCAAAACAACGGTTTAGAGTTTAGACCTCACCTCTAAAACAATCTAGCTTAATTATGTACAATTGTATCATACTAGTGTGCGTTGACTCAAAACTAAAGTTTATAAACAACTTCTTAATCCAAATTGTGATTCTTTGAGAATTTGGAACCCAGACAAGAAAATAAAATGGAACAAGGATTAATGTGGCTAATTCACTCACTTTTGAGTTCTCAAATGAGATTAAGTTGATTCTCCATTGAGTTTTGGGGTCAAAAACAAGTTTTGGAACATTTTTAGGACAAAAGAAGTGCAAACCGGTCGACCAATGACAGTGGAGTGTAACTTCACTGATCGGTTGGTGGAGTGAAGATCGGTCGACCGCCCCGGTCAATCGGTGGGAGGCTAATAGGCCGAGAAAAATGGCCGAATCGCATGAAAAAGTGCCAAAACCTGCATTTTCGAGTTCGATTTCAAGATATTTTCATTGGATATTTACCAAAACCAATTTTCATTCACTAAATCAAGCTTAAAGAACTAAAAATCCCTAATTTTCATCCTGATTTTAACCTTAATCCATCTCAAAATCAAGTTTCATGAAAATAAGATCCGAAATTCAAGAGTGAGTTTTCAAAGAGTTTACCTTAATCTTTCTTTTTGTGAAGAAAACTTGATGAAAATCTCCCTTGGTTCAAATCCGGATCCAAATCCGCTAAAAGAGAGTGACAATTAAGAGAAAGGAGAAGAGAAGGAGAGATGAATGAGGGAGAGTGAAACAAGAGAGAGATTAGCGAGTGGGAGAGAGAGGGACGAGAGTTCTGAGAGAGAGAGAGAGAGAGTTCTGAAAGAGAGAGAAAGAGAGAAAAAAAGAGTTTTGAGAGAGAAGGAACAAGAAATGAAAGAAAGAAAAAGAAAAGAAATATAAAGAGAAAAAAAAATATACATTTTCACGTAATTTTAAAATTATAAATACTAAAAATAATTAAAATTTTTAAAAAATATTTAAAATTAAAAAATAAAAAAATGCTTAATAAACATAATTAATTAAATGCTTAATAAACACAATTAATTAAAAAATTAAATTAAATACACCAATAAATCACAATTGACATAATTAAACTTTTTTAATTCTTTGAGTTGTTACAGTTTGCCCATAAAAAAAAACAAAAGTAATAGTTGGAGTTCTAAGCTTTAAAAAATTAGAACAATAACAACTAACGAAAGCAGGAGAAATTTATAATAGAGTGCCAAAATTAAGGGGCAAAAAAATATAGTAAAAATCGAGGCCGCGTTGAAACAACATGATAATAATTTTCCGTTTCTTTTCTGCTAATACGACATCAAGAAAACTCAGCAAAACTTATACCGCAGAAGTTACAATAATCCCACACAACCCAGTCCATCCTTATTAAAGCTGAAACCCATGGTCTTCATCAGAGACCCAATCATTCCTTTTCATTCCAGAAACCACCCACAACCACCACCAACACAAGAACCCCTAGAAAAATCGAAACCTACTAACAAATATCATCATATCAGAAAATGTAAAACTTCAACAATCCGCTGCATTTTTTTTCCTCGTTCTCTCTCAACCGGTTGACCCTCCTCTTCATCAGTACCTGTAGTGAGCGGGCTTGTATGGACCCTCAACTGGAACGCTGATGTAGTCCGCCTGTTCCTTTGTTAGCTTGGTGAGCTTAGCCCCAAGCTTGCTGAGGTGAAGAGCGGCTACCTTTTCATCGAGGTGCTTCGGCAAGACGTAGACCTTCTTCTCGTACTTTCCGGTTGTCCTCTCATTCCACAGCTCGAGCTGGGCAATCACTTGGTTGGTGAAAGAGCAGGACATCACAAAGCTGGGGTGTCCGGTGGCACAACCCAAGTTCATGAGACGACCCTCAGCCAAGATGATGATTCCGGTGTTGGTCTCAGGGAAGACCCACCTGTCAGTTTGGGGCTTGATGGTGATGCGTTTGACACCGGGGTAAGTCTCCAGCCCGAGCATGTCAATCTCATTGTCGAAGTGACCAATGTTGCACACAATGGCGTTGTTCTTCATCTTCCTCATGTGGTCAACCATGATGATGTCCTTGTTACCGGTGGTGGTAACAAAGATATCAGCCTCGGAGACAACGTCCTCGAGGGTCAAGAGCGGGATACCTTCCATGAGAGCCTGGAGGGCACAGATGGGATCAATCTCAGTGACGATCACACGAGCTCCAGCCTGCTTGAGGGCAGCAGCACAGCCCTTGCCGACATCTCCATATCCGCAGACGACAGCGACCTTTCCGGCAATCATGACATCGGTGGCCCTCATCAGACCATCCGGGAGAGAGTGACGGCACCCGTACAAGTTGTCAAACTGTTTATTTTCACCAAACAAAAATCAACAAACCCTTTTTTTGATCCATCAAATAAAAAGGCAAAATATAATTAAAAAAAAATGGGTGCAAGGAATCAATTCTCTATTATCCTCCCAAAATCATGGAAACACAAAAGCAAACGTCAAAGACAAGATTCGTCAATAAAAAATTTACCCGAAATTAATACGTCTGTCGTGGACCAATTCCAAATTTTGCGTTTTCATACCCAAAATCCACTCCTCTTTTCAAAAGTCATGCTTAGAGATTTGCATAATTATACAAATCCGACAATCAAAACTAAGCTAGAGGATAAACTTTGCTTGAAAAAGTACATTAATCAAAAGTAAGCTAAGAATATAAACCGCCTAGACCTGATTCAAAACCTAGAAGAATATATTACTATATCTATAAATCCAACAAGTTCAGATCTGAACGAAAACAAATCAGAAAACCCTAGATCTGAACCAAACAGAGAAAGAAAAATTCGATCTCCATACCTTGCTCTTTGTAACAGAGTCGTTGACATTGATGGCCGGGAACAACAACGTTCCATTGATCTGCATTTGGTAAAGCCTCTTGACACCTGTGGTGGTCTCCTCGGAAACTCCGACGAGTCTCTCCTTCATCTTGTGGTACCTCTTGGGATCGGTCTTCAAACCGTCTCTGATAATCGTCAACACTATCTGGAACTCGGCATTGTCGGTGGAGGCCGGATCAGGGAGCTTGCCAGTCTTCTCGTAGATCTCCTCGGCCTTGACACCTTCATGGATCAAAAGTGTGGCGTCGCCACCGTCGTCGACAATAAGGTCGGGCCCACCGCCGGGGCCCCAGTCGAGGGCGCGCTCGGTGCACCACCAGTACTCCTGGAGGGTCTCGCCCTTCCAGGCGAAGACGGCGGCGGAGTCGCGGGCGATGGCGGCGGCGGCGTGGTCCTGGGTGGAGAAGATGTTGCAGGAGCACCAGCGGACCTCGGCGCCGAGGGCGGTGAGGGTCTCGATGAGGACGGCGGTCTGGATGGTCATGTGGAGGGAGCCGGTGATCCTGGCGCCCTTAAAGGGCTGGGAAGGGCCGAACTCGGTGCGGCAGGACATGAGACCGGGCATTTCAACCTCGGCGAGTTCGATCTCGAGGCGGCCGAAGTCGGCCTGGGAGAGATCCTTGACCTTGTACTCCCTGCCGGAGGAGGTTTTCTCGACGGAGAGCGCCATGGGAGTAGATCTGAAGATCTGTAGAAGAAGGGTTTGGTCTTTGGGTTAACTCTCTATTAGCTAGTTTTGTGGTGAATAGAGAGTGAGCGCAATGGAAATGGAGAAGGAGAGGGTGTATAAATAGATTTGAGAGGGGATATCAACGGTGGGGATTTGTGGGACTTTCTGATATTTTTGTCTAGGTATTTTTTTTTAAAAAATTTTTGTTTTTTATTTTTTTATTTTTTTTTATTTACTATAGAAGTAGTAGTATACACTATGATCTCATTCATTTTATTGATTTGAGTTTAAAATTTAAGTATTTTTATATTAAAAAGTTTTCAGAAACAGTCATATCTAACTTTTTATTACAGTAAAAAGTTCTCAGAAATAGTGACATTTAATTTTTTTATTATAGTAAAAAACTCTCACATAAAATCAAATCTCAACTCGAATTAAAAACTCAAATTAACGAACTAAGCGATTGTACAATAAATGTTTTATGAAACTATTGACGAAAAATATAAATTTGAATTTGAACACGAGGTAAAGTCGGGTAAAATTAACGTTATAATCACGTTAATATATATGATTTAGGTGTGTTTGACATTGTAAGCAATGTTTATACAAGATTGTGATACATGTTTATTGTAGAGTGTTGGATATTGTAATAAGAAAATTTTTTACACAAGTTCGTGATACGTGTTTATTGTAAAATGTTGAATATTAAAAGAGATTTTTTTTTTTTATTTGTAGAAGATTGTGATACATGTTTATTGTAGTGTGTTGTATATTGTATGAAATTTTATATACAAAATCATGATGCACGTTTATTGTAGACTTGTTGTTAATAATTTATAAGTAGAGTGTCATTACAATAGAATTATTTTTTAAAAATTGTATTTTAGTTGAAATGGATGATTTTTTGGGTTTTGGGAGGGTTGGTGGATCTGGTAAATGAGAGGGCAAGACTTGAGCGTAGGTCTCCGATGATGAAGCGGGACCCATCTTATGGCTGATGTTCTTTCTTCCTTTGTAACTAGATTTTTTTATTAGAAAAAAAAATATTTTGTTTCTTTTCAAGTATATAATTTGTAATGAGATTTGGTTAGTGAAATTTGTGTTGCTGTCCAAATCCTGGAAAGAAACAGAAGAAAGGTGTTCTCTAATTTTGATGGGGTGCAAGATTTGCCTTGTCATTATAACTGTTCATACTATTGAATTTTCTATATGTGGTATCGAATAACAAGCAGTAGCAGCCACCCTATTTAGGGGAAAAGGGAAAAAGACACCTAAGCTGGTTAAAAAAAACAAAACAAAACAAAAAATAAATAAATAAAAAAGACATTTAAGGTTTGCATCCCGTCCAAGATTGCCCCAAACTTTGAAAGTTTTCACAAAGCCATTCAAGTTTAGGAAACTTCGCAATCAAATCCATACGTAGAACATTGAAAAAGGAAAGTATATATTGAGTACTCTTAGCAAAACATGGTATTATAGTTGATTTTTAGTTTATTTGTGATTTCAAGTTTTAGATATGAGTATACTTAAAAATTAAACTTACGGTTCAAATGAAATTTTTCAAGAACTTCAACATTAATATTTAATAATGCAACTTAGAATATTAAAGAGGGGCCAAATAGTTTTTTTTTTTTTTTTTTAAAAAAAAAAAGCGCTTTTTAAGGGTACAAATAGAGAAAATGTCCTTGAGGAGGTGATCTATAATTTTTTAAGGGAATGACGGGAGAAGGGAGCCACTTGTTGCCTGGAATACCAAATTTAGTATGTATAGACATACAAATTAACGGCTCACAAATGGAATACCAAATTTAGTATGTATACTAATTACTGGCTCACAAAATCATATGAATTATCAATTAAAATGTACTTAACATTTTAAGGAGGGTAGCATTCTTATAACATCTGAGTGTACTGTTGAGATCAGCAGTGGAGCCAGATTTTTCATTTCAGGGATGTGAACTAAACTAAATTTTTAAACTACAGTTATAATGCAACAAATTTTAATTGATTACAAAGATGAAAAACACAAAATAAAAACAAAATCTTCCTAAAATCAAAGTTCATTCGTAATATTAAAACTTAAGGTGGTCCGGTTGATTCTTTCAAGAATTATAAGAACAATGGAAAAAGAAGGAAAAACTACCTATTTATTATTTTTTTTGAAAAAAAAAAGAATTGTATTCCAAATCAGAAAAATACAACTACTAATTTAAATACGAAAGATCACAACGCATTTAGCGACTCAACCCCAAGTATAGACTAGAATTACTGGTAAATTCGACTGAAATGCTCTAGGGGCTAATATGTATACCGATTTTTAAAGAGAGAGAAACAAAAAGGTACACAGCTAATTAAGCACACAAATGGCCATTTCAAACACATCACTACTATAGGTGGATAACTCCAATCGATTGAAATCAAGAGACTAAAAGCACGGGGGCCTAGCAGAATACCGCAAAGAAAGACTTGCGGACTAGATTTAAAAAGAACACCAAAAAGTGGAGACCACCTTAGGAAACAAACAAGACAACATAAGCACACTAAAACTAAACGGCAAAAACATCAACACCTTTATTGACAAACACACAAATTAAACCAAAAGAGCAAAACTCAAATGACACCAGCCAAATCTCCAGTGACAAGCCGACCACTGCTATGGATGAGCAAGGGAGCCACAATGCTGCAAGCAAGCCAAAGAAACACGGGAAAAAGGTCGAGCCACTGCCGCCTCCCAGCACCACCAACTAGGAAAAACGTTTCATCTATGGAGTCGCTGCTCCACTAGGGCTGAAACCCCCATAATGCAGCAACACCGAGACACCCACAAGTCCCTCACTTGCAACAAAAAGCACAACCCCTCCATCTTTGGCCATTGCACCACACCACAAGGGGCATAAGTTCGTCGGGGATGTGCCCAGAAGGAGTAGACAAGCACACTCCGGAAAAGCCCCCCAACACCCTTTTCTCCCACCCAAACAACAGCCCTATAGACCTCTCACCAGGACTCCGAAAAGAACACGTCGTGCCACCTAAGATGCCTTCCATGGGGCCGAGAGTCTGGATCCAAGCCCAAGGGCAGTGCCCGGACTCCAGCCCTATGCAAACTTACTGCTAAACGGTACAAAGAGAAACAAGAGGAAAGGAGGAAAGAAACCTAGCAGCACACTGTCCAGGAGGAAATTATATCTATTCTTAAAAAAGAAAAATCTCTTTTTAGAATACCCACAATCATAATAATTTCATTTGAGATTACAAGACTATTTATTGGCCGTCAAATCACCTCTTATTTACGAGGATCGTGACAATATTAAAAAAAAAACTTTCAACATCCAAATTTAGAGATAAATATTAAACTATTGAGTTATGAAATCCCAAAATAAATACATATAAAATCAAAATATTAAACTTTTAAATTCTCAAACATAAATGCAATACCTTTTATATCATCCTTTAATTATATAACTCCATCTCATATATAACGCATCATTACTTATAAATGCAAGGTTTGCACAGGATTTGGGTGACTTTGGGCAGTGAACATCTCCACTAATCAGTGGTTCGCACGCAATTTATGTGAAATTGGTAGTCGATGTAGGTCATGACCGCTTAGACAACGTCGGGCAGTGAAGAATGATCATAGATAGAGCTGCAAGTTTAGAGCAGATCTTAAGTAGAGCTGCAAGTTTAGAGCGGGCAGAAGGACCGGTCTGAAGTCTGTCATTATTCGCCTGATCCCGATCTAGGCCTGAACTCCCGAACCTAACGTGGTTGATACTCTAGACCCAAAACTATTTTAGTGTTGAGTTGATTCGAAGTGCTTTTATTTTATTTAAAAAATCATTGTAAAAATTCAACTCGGTTTGCGCTGCTGTAACGTCTCCTAAAATTACTAGGTTTATAATGGAAGACTTTTAATCTGTTATAATAAATTTCCTGATAACTTTGACGAATACTACTACTGAACTTAGTACAAGTACGTAATAATTTAGTCTTCTAAAAAACATAAAGCCGTATGCATGAAAATGAATATTATTTTATTTCATAACAATATTTGTACATATAGTTATATAGTTAGGATCAAGCATTTCAATATGACAAAATTTTCCTTTTGTACTTCTGACTTTGATATTGACCGGTCTTATATCTGTTGTCCTTCTATTCATCTACAACACATGCTAAGTCTTGTGAGATAAACTCAGTACGTAAAGCTTATGTTCACATGCATATGGATGTCTTTATTTATTCAGAAAACTTTTACTTTCTTGAAAACTTTTACCCTCAGGATTGATAATTGTAAAATTTCATAAATTTTTCAAACAATTTTCCCATGTTTTCTTACTTGATTTTTGAGTATTTCATATTTAATTGCATTTTTATGTTTTGTAGGTGTTTGAAGGTTTAAAGAATGACTTGGAGCTTAATTTTTGGACTTAGGCAATTTTCGTGGGAGCCAAGCTGCTTAAAAACATATTTTGGAGTCTACTTGCAGAAGGTAGCGCTTAGGCGCTATAGTGTAGTGCCAAAGCACTACGGAATTGACTGCGTAGCACATTGCGCTACCAACTCAGCGCCAATGCGCTGCATTGCGACTTCGTCACCAAGAAACATGTTTTTGGACTTTAAAATTTCCCTAATTGAACCACCACTTGGAGGCCTATAAATAGATCATTCCTAGGTTTTTTTACCACCTTTTTGCTCAGTTTTTCCAGCCGTCTTAGGAGATAAAGAAGAAGAAAAAGTGAAGATTCAAGTGGTGGCTCTAGAGAGAATCGTCTGCATAGAGATTCTTAAAGGTCATTCTAGTTCTTTCTTTCTTTACTTCTTTCTTTTCATCAGTTTTTGTTTTTGTTTTTAATTATGTTATGTTAGATTTATTTTTTATTAAGGGCGATTTTAAAATTCTAGACATGGATTTGTCATATAATGTTTTGATATTATCTTTCAATTTCCTATTGAAATTGTTTGTCTTCTTCCCTAATTATTGGTTATGGTTATTTTCTTCTTTTATTTGGGTGGCTAACTAAATAGGACTCGAGACTTTTCTATTGCTAGATTAGGAAATTTGATATGTGATTATCTTGAGTTCTTAATTGTTAGTAG